TTTTTTTTTCTTTTCTCTCAAACATAGTTTGTGGAAATCAAAGGAAGTGTGTTCAAGAAATTTGAGAAGAACAATTTATTCCAAATGTCCAACAGTGGTGAGCTATCCAGCGCTTTATCAAAAATGCAGTACATTATTAGTACTATTTTAGAAAAGTACTGGTCTAAAAATACATAAAACATGTATTTTATTGAATTTCACATCTGCTTTGTCACTGTCAACAATTACACTATAAAAATAATCACCAGTAAGAATGATTTGTTCGTAGTAACAGGAAAAGTTTAGAATCCAGACTAAATTATATACTTCGAAGTTCTCTGAAGCTTCTTTAAAACTGAATTATCCCTTGGAAATACTTGTACCAAAGTCAGAATGGTGGCGATAGATAGATTCATGACATTTCTATTGGATATCTTTAAAAAACTGATGGATGGATTTAAGTTACAGAATTGAATTAATCTTGCTTCATTGGGAAAGTTAATTCATTTTGCATTTTGAAAGAACAGTACAGCCAGTGTATTTGATTAAAAACTTTGGTTCTCTTTTTGTATTCCCAAAGGCACTGTTTTTTGTTTTTTTTTTATCTTGATCATTCTTATTGTAATCAGATGACAGGGGAACACAACAACCCTGAATCATCTGCCATTTGCCTCTCTGGTTACTCCATCCCAGTACAATGGCTGGTCATGGAGCTGGGCTCTTGTTACCATAAGATCATTTGTATGGATAATAGCCAAACCTTTGTAGCCACATTATTAAAATTATAATACAGCGATGCTTATAGGATGTACTGCTGTCGCAAAATCCACTGTAACATGAAATGCTTTTTGAAAATTCACAGATCTGTATTGTTGACTCAAGCTGTTTAGATATTGAACTACAGCAGACTGAAGACCATGTGTTCAGCTAAAATGGAGATGCTTATCTATCTAATATTCTTACACAGGTTTCTCCATAGATGGGAGACTATAATAACAATTTTTTCCCACAGATATCAAAGAACGGTTCACCAGCTATGTCCTTCTACTCATCGTTTGTCTCAGAAATATGGAGCAGTTCTCCTGGAACCCCGGTAATCATGTTTCCCTCCTTTAAACTATACTTTTATGCACATTTTTATATTACTAGAAAAGTAAGTTGTTGTTTTGTTTTGTTTTTTTATCATAAATGTCTTTAAAAGTAAAAAAACAACAACAACAACAACAGGAAAAAAACAGACTGGGGTCAGTGCTTGCCATGGTAAAAATGTTTACAAAAATCCTGAGCAGCTCCTTTCTTGCTGTTTCAGCTGATACATTGCAACACCTTGGGGAGTTTTCTCCAGTAAACCTCAGTCAATGAGACGGAGCAAAGTGAGGAGTGAGGGCTGGGATATTTCTCTATGACAGCTCTCTGAAAAGTCAGCTCCTCCTGCCAGTCTCAAAGTCAGACACACAGTAGATGACAGATGTGGCTTGTCAGCTGAAATCACAACACTGATTTACTAATACCAGCAGAGCTACTGTTGCTAAAGAGGTATATAAATCACAAAAACTTTCAAACAACATATAATTTGTCAGGTGTGGCTCAGAATGGGCTGAGCTTTTCTCAGTACAACAGCACAATATTTACTGAGCCCTAATGGATAAAGCTTAGCTGTTTTGTACATTAAATGGAAATGCCATTAAGTGAACACCTTTAAAAAATCATTAATGTTTCTCTTAAGAGTGACAAGCTCAGGCTTAATATTGCTTTAAATACTCAGTTTCACACTTGCTTCCCTTGTTTTTCCTGCTTCGTTGTGTTCATATGGGAGTGTCAAACAGAAGCAAGCTGCCTTAAAGGGAGAGTCTGGTCTTAAAAAGGGAGTTGTTAGAAAGTCTTGTTTAGGACAGACTGACTATGAGTATAAGACAAAGATTATTTTGACCTGCTGATCATGCAAAACTGATGTGGTTTAGTGAAACAGTAAAAATATTAAGGTGGCCATCATCTCAATTAATATGAGGATTTGCTGTTTTGGTATTTTTGTATCAATATGAATCAAACGCACTGGAAAATGATCCTTTTATTTTGGTTATGTTTTAGTATTTTCTGTTTAATACCCTATACCATTAACTGAATTAATTAACTTATTTTTGTAATTGCTCCAGTGGCTGCCCAAAGAAAACTTGCAGTGCTGCAAGTCCAGTATATTCAGTGAAGGTTTGCAGTAATGTAAATTTTCTTTGGGCAGCCACTAGAGAAACAGATACAATTAGAAGATGACTTAAATAATTTGGCTAATGGTGTAGCGTATTAACATAGAAAAAAATAAAACACGACCAAAACAAGGAGAAACATACATATACAAATATTGAAGGATTATTTGATCCTTCCAAAAATTTTGGCTAAAATAATTATCTTTTTTTCCCCCTCTCAGATCACCTGTGGGTGTTGTTCCCTGACGTTTTTATGGTTGTCACCTCTGAAGTTGCAGTTGATGTCATCAAACATGCCTTTATCACAAAATTCAATGACATCACTGCAGATGTAAGAACACAACCTGCTGTCCTTTCTTTCAGTCATCACCATGACTTTGCATGAGAACATGTATGATACTATATGGGATACCTTGCCTTTTTCTTTTTCCTGTACTGAATTATTTTCTTGTCCATTTTCCAGGTGTACAGTGAATATAGAGCCAGTTTGGCTTTTGATCTCGTCAGCAGTCGGCAGAAGAATGTAAGCAACTGCCTCGTTTTTTCACATTGCCATCATTATACTTACATAAACAGCGTGGAGCCCACGCAGCTAATCAATTCAGTTTTGTCAAGTGCTGTAATTTATGCTCGTCTGTCACTGTGTAGGCTTGTACTGACTACAGTGACTCAGTGGCCCGGAGGATGGGCTTCATCCCCCTGCCATTGGCTGTTCTGGTAAGAGAGAATGCAGTCTGTTGTTGATATTCAGGAACTAAATACCAGAATAGAGTTGGTCGTTGGCACACAAGCAAGTTTCAAAACTCCACGATGTTCTAAAAGTGTTTAATGGTTCTTATTATTGCTAAAATGAAATGTTTCCATTTTGTTTTCAAAATGGATAAATAATTCCATTAATACTGGTGTTTCTGTTTTTTTTAACAGCTCATCAGAGTGGTGATGAGTTCAGTGAGGTTGCAGGGAGCACTATCATACACCTGTGTACTGCTCTTTTATCTTGGGTGAGTTTTTAGAGTTGTCCTGTATAGATTTTTTTTATACATCCTGCAAAATGAGTGAGCTTTTAATCCTTATTATGCCACTTTACCTCACTGAAGATCTTTTTGTTGTTGTTGTTGTTGTTGTTTTAAATACATGCAAGTGTAGTTGAACCCCAGCTATTTGCAGTTCAGTAATCATATATTCACCTATTCACTTTTTTCTGTATTTGTACAGAAAATTTTGTTTTCTTAAAAAAGAACATTCTCCAAACAGTATGCAAATTTCAAATACAAAGCCTCCAGAAAATTAAAATATAGGCAATTATAAGCGTTTTTAGATGGGGTCTAAAGTTTTCCCAGATTTGAGCTATTCGCGAGCTGTTGTGGTCCCTAACCCCCACGAATACCAGGGCTCGACTGTAATATAATCTGACCATGAAAAGTATCTTTAGGAAAGATTGATGACTGAAACTGGTCTTTGTGATAACCCCTTCTGTTTAGTAAACTAAATGCTTAACCCACTTAACATGACATGTTTTTTTAAGTCAGTAAAGACTAAAATATTGGGATACTTTAATTTACTTATAGTGTGCTAGTTATGGAGAGAACCTCACACAAACATCGTCACATGGCGAAGGTAAAAACATGGTTGCGTTGTCTCGTGGATGCACACTCACCCATGCAGGCACTGTCATAAACACACATTCATATTCAGAGACACACACAGTTACATAAGCATTAACATTGTGCTCTCACATCCACCCTGTGCTGAGTTGCTGATAGCCTTGCTCATTCTCATTTGCCGGATCCCATCGGGGCACGTACCATTGAAGAGTTTCCCTTAGGGTGAAGAATACAATGTTGTCATCTCTAGTGCCATCTCTGGCCTCCCCTATCCTCCGATTTAAAAATAGCCCTAGCTTGAACAGACCGCTGTGCCTTGGCAAAGATTCAGCTGCGCTGACACGCTCTGTCACAGCAAGGAGTGGTCCACAGACCCAAATGTGTCTGTCTCTCACTCATCACAGTACCAGACTCTCGGCCTTATAGCAAAGCCCACAAACACAGAAAGACAGTGCACACTAACATCCTGGCGTAAGTGGTGGGATGTGAACACTGGCGATTGAAGCCAGATGGTAAGAGATTCATTATAGCTATGCCCTAGTTCAAGATAGCATTGTGATAAAATTTCAGCACTAAATAAAACAAAGAAAGATTCAAAAAGCTATTATATGAATGGTAATTTGCATTAGAAGACTGTGTTTTGATCAAAATGTAGACACCTAATGTATTTATTATTTAATTTAGCCCGCAGACTGGAAAAAACTACAAAGCTTTAATATGTTTGAAATTAAAGCTGATTTTAAATTATGGCATCACTTTAAGTTAGAGTAAGTTTTTTTTTTTAATAGACTTTCATCTGTCCAGACTAGCTGGATGGTACATTTAAAGCTCTGTAATACTACCTGAAGAACAGGAAAAAAATCTAGTCTTTTTCTAATCAAATATCCCCTTTCCCTCCCCTTTCCCTTTGTAGACTGGTAACACTGAAAGTGTTGAACAGTATTGTACTCCTGGGGAAATCATGTGTCTATGTCAAGAGAGCCAAAATGGAGGACAAACTGTTTGAGAGGCCCTCGACTGCACCATCCTCCTCTGCCAAGAGCCCTAGCAAAGCTGACCCAGCCAGGTGCCGCACACCTTCAGGTAAAGAAAAAACCCCTCAAAAGATTAAGATGAGAAAAAACCTTGGTTATAATAAAAATCCCAGATATGTTATGGATTAATATTTTGTAAAAGCTATTATTTACACCCACAAGGATCCATAGGTTTCAGTCCCCATGGCATTTATGACTACAACACTAATTATCTCTTGAAGGGATTCAGCATGACTCATGAAACATTTGCATGCCAGAGAAATGTGAAAAGTCAAACAGCAAACTGTTTTTGTGTTAGTGGTTCTTTTTAAAGATGAATTTAATAGATAATTGTAAATTACACATAAAAGCAATTACATTTTATATCTATAAATGTGATGCTTTCTAAACAAGATGACATCAGCTGTGACCTCAAGCGTAGAGCATGTCACCAGTAGCTTAACCAGTCGGTAATAAATTATAATCAAACATTCAGCGCAAAGAAAACCAGAGTTTGACCTTGTCTAATGGTCAGTGCTACCAGTCATTTTACGTAATTATACATTCACCTCAGCTTGATTATACTCACTTTTACTAATTACACTGTATCTATCAGGTCTCCAACAGTCAAGAACATGCAGAACATGAAGCACTGACATAAATTATTAATATTTAAATAGCTACAGTACAAATATATCATAAGTATTTATTTGGAATTACATACACACCACCTTTGAACAAAAAACTTTTGGTTGAAACTTTTGTGGTATTTTGAAGTCTGAATCTTATTTTAGAGATATGAAAAATGCTGGGACCTGAGAGGGTGTTGTTTGGCTGGCAGGAATAGATATCTTGTAAATGAGACGTCCTGGGATTTAATTTTGTTGATGAATGTTTCGTATTGCTCTTTCTCCTACACAGTTGTTCTCTTTCTTCCTTTCTTTCTTTCATTTTGTTCAGCAATAGAAACCTGTAATGGTTTTCAAAAGAAAACAATGTTTTATTACTCTTTATGTCTCAGACTACCATTCAGAATAGCAATTTACATATTTGTTGAAGTGATGCTAGATATTGCTTTCAGTCTCATGCAATTTCTAAAGTCTTACCAAATGGGCCCCCCACCTAACAGAGTTACGTTGATCTTTTTAGGTATCTAGTTGGCACTTAAATGTAAATGTTGGACATTTAGCTGACATTTAGGTACAGACAAATGTGGCAACAGGTAAAGCCCCGGCTCAGCTTCAGACATTTAGTGGAAACAAGCAAAAATTGGGGATCCTTGAAACCTTGATTTGATTTGATTTGATTTTTTTGGGTCAGGTAAGTCTTTTCAAGATTACAGGTTAGCACTTGATTAATTCCCTCAGCATTTAAAAAAAAAACAAAACAAAAAAAACACAACTCTGTGATCCCAAAACTATTTTGCGGGGCAAAAAAAAAAAAAAAAATCAAACAGTATACATAATGTTTTATCTACTTCCTTTTCTTTCCTTGATGCTTATTTCCAGAGCTGCAATGAATTGATATTTGTCATTGTGTAACCTGGTACATTATGATGTTAATTACAAAATGAATCTGTTATGCCTGGAGATGTTTTTGTCAAGCAATTAATAACTACTAATGCAACATTTGATTTGCTACAGTATAGAACTTCAACCTTTTGATTAGATGATGAATTTAATTTGTCTGGGCTCAAAAACATACATTTATCAAATGTGTTTTGTTATTCAACTTATTGAACAAATTCTTCATTTGTCTTCTATATTTGATAGAATGGACAAAGGTGGGCACAGTATTCTCTGGTAAATTATACAGACATATCCAGCACTACACTTAATGTAGTAAAACGTACAACGTTGCAGTGTTCTGTCATAGCACTTTGTACTGGATCGTCATCTTATGTCATATTCTAAGAAAAAGACTATTCAACAAAAAAGTACACAGCAAACCCTTTTCTGTAGTCTGATATTTACACGTGAATTTCCTCAAAAGAGTTTAGTTCATAGTCTGGCATAGAGTTTCACTGGTCCCGCACCTACGTTTGATGAAACAGATTTGGAGGTGACACTATCTCCCTGTCATCCTCAGCCAAATCCCTGCAGATCTTTTCTCCCGTGTGTGCCTCAGACCCGCCTGCTGTGCCGAAGCAGGAGCTTTAAAATGACAAAGATCCTGATGGTGCATCATGTCATGGAACATCAAAAGCATTCATGTTTCTAATGAATCTGGTTTCTCACAGAGCTCCAGCAACATGGCTTACAGCTTCACGCTCCAGCATGCAGAGTATAATAATAAATGCTTTGAGGTTGTGGGAAGCTAATGCAAGTCTCTTTATGCTTTCTTCATATTTAGCTTTTGGGATTTGAACCGTCGACCTTAAATACCATGCTCACTTTTCTGACATTAAACTACTTTGGTGGGCGCCTCAAGCTTTACCTGCTGCTCAACTGGATTCACTGCACTATGTCTTTGTCTTTGCAATGCTCTGCCTTCAAATAATACGAAGATCTGCCATCTGTCTATACTGCATGTTTTTGTCCAAAGGGGAGAAATGTGTAATGAGCGGTTTCACAGTAGCCATTTCAAGCCAGATGGTGGTTAACTTTTATTAAAGCTCACATATCTCCAGAGAAATGGAGAAAGCTGCAATGTGTGACTCAAATAACAGATCTATAGATTTTTTTTTTTTCTAGGGTTGAAGGGAATGTAGCCCCCTCGACTATACCTGGAAAAATTAGTTAGGAAGTTAATATAAAAATTAGATAATGGGATATTTAATAACAACAGACATCATCTGTCTGTCTGTACACAATACACAAGAAGCGCTAATTTAGCGCTTGATTTTTTTTGTTACATATCATTGTAATGTAAAAGCTAGTGAAACCGATATCTGGTTCCTTAGCAGCTAAATGACATTGACAAAACTGACATGAGCATCTGGCCTGGTTGCTTTATAGTGGAAGACAGCTTAAGGCTAGCATGCTATGATTTTGTTCCTGCTCTGTGCCATTGATTATAAGGAGTTGAGGCTATTAGTGTGACTGTTGACCTGTCCAGACTGTAGCCTCCTATCAACCAGTTTCTAGGATAAACCACAGCCCACCTGGGGTGGCTGTAGCTCAGGTGGTAGAGCAGATCAGCTACTGATTGGAAGGTTGATGGTTCGATCCTTGGCTTCCCCAGTCTGCATGCCAAATATCCTTGGGCAAGATACTAACCCCAAGTTGCTCTCTGATGCGCTCATCGGAGTGTGAATGTGTGTGAATGTTTATTAGTTTGCACTTGAGTTTAGAAGTGCTTGTATGAGTGGGTGTGAATGGGTGAATGAGGCATGTTGCATACAGCGCTTTGAGTACTCCGGGAGAGTAGAAAAGCACTATATAAGAATCAGTCGATTGAATTAAACCTGTGACCATAATTTGGATAAGTGAAGTGGTTAAGGAGATGAGAGGATGGCTATCAACTGATACTGTATTTTTTTCTTCTTTGTTTGTTGCAGAGTGATTTTTGCCATCAGGGTAACTAATAGTTTCGATTTTTCCATCTTCGGTGTAGAATCTGAACTGCTTTTACATATTTCCTCAGGTTCTGTGTTAATGAGGAACACAAGAATAACTGAGTGTACAACTATAGCAGCAGAGCATTCACTACATCATGTTTTGAGGTAGAAGACTCTGTCTGATCGGTTTATCAATATTTTGCTAATAAGAAAATGCTTCTAAAAGTAAGCCATTTGAACAATCTTTTTTTTTTTAATACATTTATAGTTTTTATTGCCTGTCTGATAAAATAGTTTGCTTTGCTTTTCCTAGGTTTCAGTTCAGGATTCTTTGAGTGTCATGTTTCTCTTATAACAGCTGTGATTATGCAAATGATGACTATTTCATTCATATAGTTTAAATATATAATTTTTTTCCTCAGTTCAAATCAAAAAATATCATTGATGCTGTCAGGTCTCAGTAGAAAATGGCTTCTTTTTTTTAAAAAAAATTTGAACTGCCACACAATAGATAAGTTGTGAAAATGAGGAGCTTTGATTGGTCAGAGTCCACCTTTTCTGTCATGGGAAGAATTTAAGACTCTCAAAAATGTGACATTCACCACCTAATAAAACAGCAGTACTGTGAAGCCTGACCCCATCAGAATAAATGAAATGGTGAAGCTTAGAAAGGGTGTGCACGCCACTGACAGGTATGCCTCATTTTATATTCTTCACTGATTTAATGCTAAATTATTTAGGTGGAACCGAACGTGGAATTTTCCTATATTCTGTTTGCCTAAAACATTTGCTTTCTTTTATTTTGTTTTGGGGTTTTTTTGTTTTGTTTTTTGATTTTTGTTTTTTCATGGCTTTTATCATGGTTGATGTTTTTTTTTTGTTTTTTTTTCTTTCTTTGATAGCTTAGACACACACATGTAGTGCGTGTCTAACCTACACAATCCATTTGCTCAGTGTGTTGTAGTTTTCTCTCTAGTTAAATGTCTATTCATCTCTGTCTACAGAAAGAACCAAAAGTTTGCTGTAGTCTGATAGCCCAGGGCGAGGCAGTCGTCTCTGTGGACAGTCTTCTTGCTCAATTCTCTCTGATATGATGAATTATTCTGTTTAATTGATTTTCCTAAAGTAACTGTGCTCTACTCTCAAAGTGAAAAGCCTTTGCAGTGTTTCTCTAAACATAATGAAGTGAATTGTGAGGTCCAGCTGTGCTGGTGTATGTTTTACATCAGCATCTTTTTCTGGGTGTTTTCTCTCCTGCTGTGTTGAAACTGGTTTGTCCAGTTATTGTCCGTGCAGATGCAGTCAACCTCCACCCGCCTATCAGTTCGATTTTAGAATCAGAATTAATAAAGTATTGTGATTCTGAAACTGAACTAGCACACAGCTGGACCTCATATGACGGTGGGATTAATCTTAATAACTGGAAAAACCAGTGGAATTATGTCTTTTAAATGTTAAGCTTGTCTACACAGACATTAATCAGTTTTCACTTGCCTCACACTTGTTTGATGAAAGGGACATGCTTGAATAAATCTAGCGGTCTACTCTGTACAGCTTGCATTTTGCCTGCACTGTGGGTGTGAAGATTTGTTTACTTGTGTTTTACTCAACTTCCTACAGTGATTGGACTGCACAGAGCACTGTTCCTAAGCTCACGCGTAGAACTGAGACGAGCGGGATTGAAGCTGCTGGGTTGGCTCTTTGTTAAAGCCAGTCTTAGTGGCAAATTACCTATGCATAAATGAACCCATCTACATGGTATTTGTTTTGTCATTAAATGTGTTTTTAAATGTGTTCCTCACAGGTGAATCTAAGGTGGTGCAGATCCCTGCCACTCCCTGCAGCCCAACATCCTCTTCCATCTCGTCTGTGACCACTCAGCCTATCCCTAGGACTGATTTGTTTCCTCCACCATTTACCTATCCCTCACCTGCTAAACCAGCTAGCCGTCCACCTAGTCCACCTTCTGATGCTGATGCTGAACAACTTCCATCCATGCTCTTAAAGGAAGATGACGAGGATGAGGAAGAGGAGGAGGAGGCACAGCTGCCCTCTGAAACAAAGCACAAGACCTCCAAAAAAGACCTCCTTGAGATTGACCGATTCACAATCTGTGGAAACCGCATTGACTGATCAGCCTCCAAGCAGCCACTGATGTAGCGACTAACCACTCAGGAAAGACGGAGACCAATGGCCTCCCAGCCTGGCTCTCCTGGCCAACAGCAGCAGAACGCTGAGTACTTATAAAATCAGTGACATTACAGTAAATTATTGTTAAAAAAAAGAAAAAGTCAGACAATCCTGCTGCTGTTGAAAGCTGAAGTCGAGAAGTTTCACAGGGAAAACTTCACCTGGCTGATAAAACAGAAGAGGACAGAAAGTGAGTGTTGCAGCCGAGTTGTCAGGATGAACTGGCATATGTCAGAGCGTGTGTGTGTGTGTGTGTGTGTGTGTGTGTGTGTGTGTGCACGCGCGCGATTTAGGATCAGGGTTGGGGTGCGAGAGTGTGTGCGAGTGAGCATATGTGTAAGTGTGAAGGCACTCTAGCACTTCCTGTATGAGCAGCAGTGGGACCAGAAGGAGAGAAGTTTCTCAGTTCGCTCAGCAGCCAGAAAAAACTTCCAAACTCTGACATCAAAAGTGACACTTGAATGATGAGAATTTGCTTTTTTCCACCAGAAAACAAGTGTTGGGGTTTATTTTAAGTACTAAACATTCAACATATGAAATTTTGCAAGAAAACAAAAACAGAGGTTATTTAAAACATCTGAGCTAAGAAATGTAGCTCTGTTATTATATGGCAGTTTGCAACCCAAGGATCGCAAAATTCTCATCTCTTTTTTACATTGTGGTTGTCTAGAAAATATTCAGATGAACTTAAAAAGCAGAGCAGAAAAAACTGGAGTCAAAACTGAATAATGAAGGGTTTTTACTCAGACATTGTTTTGATTTAAGAGACTGAAACTGACATGACTGAAAGGTTAGGAAACATGGCTCTGAACGGTTACACACTGTCAATATTAGAGATCTGTTGATTAAAGTCCGTACCTCAGTGAAGCTGGTTCAAATTTTTCAATCCAGTATGAATTACAGGTGTTGCAAACACAGCTAAAAACAGTGATTATTTTTTAGATTAAAAAACATTCATTTACACAGCCATTAGGTAAAGACATTTGCAGCCATCCTGCGCCTTCGCCATCTCAACAGCCTTTCATTAAACGACCCAGTCAGCGTACAGTATTAGCCAAAGCAGTTAATGACTGCTGACTCTAAATCTGCTGCATCTACCACCCACTTACATAGCCAGTCATAGAGCAGAAGTCCTTTTAAAATTATGGAAAAAGTGCATTTGTATGTCATAGCCCATTATAATCTTGATTTTCCAATCACTTAGTTTAAGACAGTTTACACGCAGCTATCTGTTAAATGGACATAATCAATGGGAAGAGTTCTCTTTTGGTGGGGTGCCTCAAATTGGAGCATAATTTTTTGATGAATGGTATTTAATCTTTAGTTACTTTTGAATGCACTGATGGGCCGTATTGCCTTTAAATACGGTCATGTTTCTCATTCGACTCTAGTGATGCTCTAATGTTTACATCTTAGGATAATAGAAGCAATATTTACACAACAAAATGCCTTTTTTGTGTGTGTGTTTTAAGATTTTTATTTTTTTTGACTGACCTTGCAGAGTTGTTCGCTATGATTTTTTTTTTTTTTTTTTTTTTTTTTTTTTGTAAATTACGTGAATCATCTAAAAGTAAAAACACCTTAAAGAGACCAGGAATGTCATCAAGTTTTAATTTGACACCCATTTGTGTAATTTAGTTTAAACATAATACATTTTTTGCAACTTTATTAGAAGTTTATGATTCAAATTCGTGCCAAATCTTTCAATCACTTTTGTTTCATCTGATCTGAATTGTAAAATTACGGCAATATGTCACTGAGCACTTTCTTGTTTCCTCCATGTTTACAAAGTTGATCTTAGCATTTTGATTGACAGCAGCTAATCAAAAATGGTAGAGTTAGACAAACCCTTCACTCACACTAATTATTTTATAATCATCAGATTAAAAACTCAGGTCACTTGTGTTCACGTTCCGCTTTTTTGACGCACTCTGCCCATCGCTTCTTTTATTTGGGGATGTAAAAACAAGTACTTTTTTGGTTGTAAAATACTTAACAGTGATATATTTAATGTTATTTTGGCAAAGAAAGCTTGCTTTTTGTTTTTTTTAAACAGAAGGTGTATATAGTGTTTACATGTATCAGCATCTGTTTGATTGTATTTTGGAGAAACGTTTCTTTATTGTAATAAGGATGATCTATTTTTGGAGCTGCCTGATGGAGCTGGTTCAGTCTTCACTGTACACAGAGTTGGTGCTGATGTTCCAGGTGTGCAGTGGAGATCTGACCGAACCTCAACTGGGCCCAGCTGAGCACACCTGAGCTTAACTGGGTTAATGGATATAGAAGCACTGTAGAAGTGCTCTTATGCAAGCTGCGATGGTCCAGTACACTGCCTGCTTTGTTTCCTCAGTTTGATTCCATATTTAATTCCTACCTTGATATTGTATGAACTTGCCCATTTGGAGTAATAAAGTTGATTTCTTAAGTGTGCTGTTTTATTGTAGCTACATGCAGAGCTAAAGCATTCTGGGTTGTGTTTTTGAGGGTATGTATTTGGAAAAAGTTCACTTTCGATCCTCAAATTATTTGCTGTTTAACTCAAGTTCATGACTGAGAATCAGAATTATTCAAACTTCAAGTCTGAAACTATGTTTTAAAGTTCACTGTGAGTATGTGCAAGCTTATTTTACTTACCCAAATGCAGCATCATACCAAACGTTTTGTATTAAATTATATGATAATGCTTGTTATCTAATGATCCATCATTTCAGATGATCCTGACCTGTATCACTCGCTCTCTGTGATACACTCGAACTCTGGATGAACATTGGGAACTGGATCTTGAGTTGGGATTTTGTAAGGTCAAGACCGAACGTTCATTGGTAAAAGGTTCTTACAGCTCTATGAATGAAATCATAGAAACTGCTTTGCTTGCAGGACAGTTGAGCAAACTTTTTGCTGACGGATACCAGTGGTGTGATAAGGATGCAGGCTACAGAAACATGCAGGCCTACAGTGCTTCCAGAAGTGAATGTTTTTAATTTAGCCATTTAAAGAACCACTCATCAGTGGCTTTAGCTTTCAGAGTACAAAGTCAGATTAGGATTTCCTTTTTTTTTGTTGATGACAGGAAGCATCAAGGTGCTTCTTTTTCCCCCCCGTCAAACTTCCTGTAAGCTTTATCCATGAACCCTGCCTGACCTGATACTGGGCTGCACAGTACCTGAGTACCTGTTCAGAAGTGAAGGACAGGCAGAGTAAATCTGTAACAGACATTCTTAGAGGGCTAAGCTCCTTACACTGCTGAGAACTGAGACGAGCTTCAGCTCTGTCAGATCTGACAGGAATTTGTCTTGAGAAAGGTTGACGGGAATGATAGTGACACTTGGACAAAGTCCACATCCATACGCAAGATATGGTGGTCATTTACATTCCAATTTCTGAAACATCTTACTTGATAAAATTATTAAAACCAATATAGGGAAGACTATCAGCAGCTGAAATAAGAGAAAAATTATCTGTAGTCATGATGCAGCAAGTGTTAAATTTATCGTCTTTCTAGAGCAGTATGAAAAAGGAGGACAGAATTTAATCTTGCATTTATATTTTTAATGAGATCATTTAGTTGTAGATACACTAAAAACTGTTCTTAATGAATCTACTAATTAATTCTACTGCCTCAGTCTAGCATATCATGTGTCTGTAAAACTGAAAGTCTCATCTGCTCCTCTGCAGGTCTAATGAGTGTGTGTTGTCACTGAAGAAATGTATTCACAATCAGTGATCAAAGGTTTCCAAACAGGAGGCCCCTCTGTCACCAGGAGCTGGGGCCCCATGCACTCCAGAAAGAGGACAAGGATGTTACTGTGTAAAGAGACAGAAGCAAAACCCACCTGTTTGCTTCTCTGCCAATGAAATCAATCCTATGAGCTGCACGCAGGTATCCTCTGTCTGCCCTCTGGGGGAAAAGGTCAAAGGTCAGGAAGGTGAAGAGCCTGATAGTGGGAAGAAGAGAAAGCTGACTAGGGAATAGCTGATACAAGAAAACATTTTTACATTAGAAATTATGTAAGATATTGTATTGTTCACATTTAAAGAACATGTTGAAGAGCATAACAATTACATTTCTAATTTCTGAAATGAAAAAAGGCAAGTAAGTAAAACTCTGCTTTCAAAAGATATTTGAAGGAAGTCAGTCATTCCATAAACCTCATCTCCTCAGGAAGGTTGTTCCGGAGTCAGAATCTAAGATGGCGAAAACACAACAACCTTCAGATTTAAACCTCAGCCTGGGAACAGCCAGAATGGCCCCACATGAACATCTAAGGCTGTAATCAGCTTATTAACTTTGAGTCTAACTTAAATAAGAGTAATTATACTTCTGTAGTGGATATAATGATAATATTCCCCCACAACTGACAATTTAAAGCTGCAGTGAACAGAAAAGGTGAAAGAGAAAAAAAAGCCTTTTTCCTCTTTTTTTCTTCAGTGCATGGATACTCAGGTGTTTGATACTTGGCAAATGTAATTCAGTGCTGCTTTTGGCTTCACACAGGACCCCAACCCCACTCTCCCAGATAAAAGCCTTCTGCCTGACCCACTGGAGCACCACATATTACATTCGACATGGACTTTATACTGCTTAATACCTGGTCTGAAAATGTACATGTAATCGGTCATTCTCATTTCCGGGGAATAAAATAATCTGCTTTTAACAAATCTACTGTCCTATAGGGAACAAGGTGTCCTAGTGCATAAACCATAAAGTTGGCCTTAGACATCACTTTTCCTCCCAACTTGGCATGTTTCAACTTGAAGGGTTACCTCTGTGGAGCAGTGTATTTTAACCCACAGCCACAATAGTGTCCCCCTAAAAAAATTGTTTTTAGTTCTTAAAACTAACCAGTGGGTGAAAGCTAGCTGCAAATGTCATATAAGAAAATGAAAGTTGTAACTGTTTAAAGTATTTATTTGAAAATTAATCAGCTTTCTTAACACAGTAACACTGCATATTTATTACAGCTAAGATTTCATTATTATCACAACTAGAATTCCTGTTGTGGAAAAAAAACATTCATTGTCTTTTTTCAAGCTCACATCTCAGCATTTTTAAAAATAACGCTTAATGTGGGTTGTGTAGATGGATCTTATAAACAATCCAATGCTATCAAAAGGTGAGGAATTAATTGTAAACATGTTTAAGTGATACTAAAGTCAAATATTGCTGGATAAGCATGATTTTCTAATATAAAATCGAATGATTTCCAGCAGACCCGAGGGAACAGTGCCTCAAAACGGCATTTCAATATATGTAAACTGTCTAAAGGTGGTTTTAACGTGTTCGGCCCCAAACTAATCTCTCCAATCAAAACGTTAGTAGGTTAGATCTTTAAGATTCTACTTCCTCTCCCCGGCAGGAGGAGCACCTCCCTCTGGACCCGTCCTCCCTTTGCAAACGGCGGCGCGCACCATCGCCCGCTCCCGTGACGCAGCGCATCCCCGTGCTGCACAGATGCCGGAGTGGAAGCGACAGGCGCGCTCATCCAAACGCATCGAACACAGGGGACGTGGAAGAAGATCGTCCGATTTGCGTCCGTCTAAGAGCTCCAGACCGCGGGGAACGATGCTCGGAACAAGTCGCTCGGTGGGAAGCAGGACTTAAAAAGCTGCGGAACACTTTTATCTGTATTCTCTCTTTTCCCCCACTCCGATAATAATCAAGATTCCGGGCAGTCGCCGTCCAGTTTTCTCGATCACTGAGAATTTAGTTCCAGTTTCACGACAGGTCGGTGTTTCGTTTGGACACGATGTGGAAGCCGGGAACCCTCCTCCTGCTGTTGCTGTGGCTGGCATCCGGCGAACTCCAGCAAGAGACGGAGCCGCGGAGACTCCCACCCCCAGGAAAGTTGAATTTCGGCTATGTGCCAGCGGGAGTTTACGAGACGCTGGCCCATTACGAACCTGGACCGATAGGGATTCTGTTCCACATGGTCCATGCTTTCCTGTATGCGGTACAACCCAACGCTTTTCCACACGGTAAGCATCCCCAATCGAGCTCACGGTGGCTACAGCACAACAAATGCAGACCGAGCCCTGGGCAACGTGTCTGAAATGTATATGGAAGTCATGGGGGAATAAGTTATGAGAATCTATGAGTGTTGTTCCCGCTTGGTTGTCTTGTGGGACGCAAACAGGGACACGAACAAGAGAGAAACTGCAGGTTATTATACTGGATTACAAATTGACTTTTTTAAACGTTTTTATAAATTAGGCACATAAATATTTATTCTAGTTTTGTGGATATTGGGTTAGGAATCAAAACTTTGAATTTTATAGCGCTTCTTCGGTCTCACTGCGTGAAAAAGGTGTCCACTTGCGGATTGGTCCAGTTGTGCGTCATGCGCCCCGTTCAGCGCTCACAGCACGCACTTGAAGGTGGTGTTTCTGCCTGCGGCGCACTTTGTGTCAGGATAATTACAATTAATGAGCCTCCCGCTGACAGCAGCGGTGCACGTTGTTTTTGCCTCTGTGAATGAACGTCGTTGGGTAGTTTGTTGCTATGAGCACCCGAAGAGCTTGAACGCGCATGGCTTTACATTTAATGCAATTATACCTGGCTACTTAACCACACCCCCACACACGGAGGTGTCTCTGTGTGTGTTTAATTGGGTATTGGGTGCTCAAAAGACTCTACTCCACTGTATGCATTTCAGTCGAAGAAACATTTTGCAGATTAGTATCTCTCTGAGTCACCTTGTTAATTGAGTAATCCCATAAACCCCTGCGCCATATGCTGTTGGCGTTTTTAGTTTTCAGTTTGTCACCGGCAGTTGGGGGCTCATGGCCTAATCCTATGGAGCAGACAGACCACTGCGCAGTGAAGCTGTTAGTTCATTCATGGGTGCACACACTAAATAATCCAAGGAAGAGGGTGGAAGTCATGTGGAAACAGTGGGATAGGATAATAAACGACAGTTCAGAGACATGTATGTTTAATTTCTTTGACTAGAAATTTCACGCAGATGTTTTTCTTTTTTCTTTTTTTTTTTGGGGGGGGGGGGGGGTCATGAAAGGAAATTTTGCAAGTAAAGGTCATTAGTTATTAATAGAACCTGTGCATGTTTGCATATCTAAATCCAATTCTGTCAGGGCTGCTTTGATTATAAGGCTACAAGCTGGTTTGCAGGAAACCATTGGCCTTTCACGGCTTGTCAACTACATCTCTTGCGCTGCGCCATTACATAACTTGGAGTTATGTTAAAATCTATAAGATGAGCCAGAAGAAAGATCTGCACTCGGTTTCCACTCCAGTGGTTTGTGACTTGAAGTGGCGCAGATGTCAGAGTGGAGCACTGTTTAGGCTGGGTCGACCTGGGTGTCGTTTCTCTTCAGCCTGTGATAAGATACAGTGTTAACGTTGTTACAGCAGGCTTTTAAAGAATGAATCACTGAATCCTGTAGCAAAAAAGGCTCTTAAATTCTGTTCATCTGTTTCCTAATCACATCTGATTTAAAGGGACCGTTCACTCCCAAACAAAACAACACCTTGTCTTTTGGCGTGATCCCACTACTAACTACCATTCATTTGTTGGGCATTTGTTTGAGATGATGATGGCTACAACAAATGTTTTATTTATTTTCTGTTAGAAAATGAAGATATTAGAAAATGTGCAAATGAACATTTTGCTATATATACACACAAACACACACACTAGTTCTGTGGATGTGTCTTTATTTATGTATTTATTTTTGTGGATACATTTGGACCATGACAAATCTTGTTATTCATATCCCAATACAGACGAGCAGCGTCAGCCACTCATTCCTTCCCCAACATCTGGACCAGGTGTTTGTTTCAAAGGTTTCTCAAACCCATAATTGAAAGCAAAACCATACTCAGAGCATTAGCAGAGAATGAGTCATTTTTAATATTTTTTGTAATTTATTTACAGTTGATTGACAAGCACTATATGGGCGAAGGTATCGGGCCACACCTTTAACCTTTGAATTCAGGTCTATGAAATCAAGCACCTTTCCATGTAGTCTGCCTTTAAAGACAATTGTAAAAGAATGGCCTGACTGAATTTGAGTGAGGTACTGTAATAGAAAGCCACCAGTGCAGCAAGTCAGTTCATAATATTTCTTCCTATCTAGAAAAGAATAGAATAGCCCTTTATTCTAGACCACGACACACCATAAAAAGTTACAGAACAGGGTCACCAAGTGCTGAGGTGCACAGTGCAAATGGTAAAAGTCAACAACGTTCAGCTGACTGAATAAATGCAGAGTTCCAAACCTCTTCTCGCAATAACATCACATATGTCATGAGCTTCGTGGCATTGGTTTCCATGGATGAGCACTGCAGGAGTAATGTGTAGTTGGCGCAGTACCTTTGTTGATGGAAAAAGGAGAAGGTTGAGCTACAGAAAAGGATAGCATACCATCCTTTAAATCAGGGGTGGGGAACTCCAGACCTCAAGGGCTGGTGTCCTGCAGTTTTTAGATGTGCCCTTGATCCAACACAGCTGAGTTAACCGGCTAAATTACCTCCTCAACATGTCTTGAAGTTCTCCAGAGACCTGGTAATGAATTAATCATTGGATTAGTTGTGTTGACCCAGGCTGATATCTAAAACCTGCAGGATACTGGCCCTTGAGGCCTGGAGTTCCCCACCCCTGCTTTACATTAACATGCAGGCATTTGCATATATAGGTCTTACTTTTCTCATTTATCCACTACATCTACCTGAACATTGCTTTGGGTAGCACAGAAAACACAATTATTGTCATATTTTCAGATTTTTGAATAGACAGCAGAGTACTTGTGTTTCATGTTAATGTCAGTTAATGAAACTGTTTTCCTTTTTTAAATTATAGCTCCAATATCAAAGGTTTCATACATGTGCTATATCCCCGAGGCTTGTTCGACCCTTGTGGATTTTTATCCAATACAGTCAACAGCCAGTTAGGCTAACCCTATAAACAACTGTGAGATGAACATTATGTTGATGAGTAATTAGCGACGCTCCATCATCACATCTCTTACTATCAGTGCGCATAGCACATTACATTGAGCAATGTCTTTATAATCTCATGAATGCTCAATTTAGTCAGCTGATGTGTTCATCACGCTGTATGTGCGGCAAGCGGCTCCGAGCTCGTAGGAGGTTTGATTAGAAAAGAAGCAACAAATGTCTTTCATCAGCACCCACACAAATCGAACAAACAGCGACATATTCTCTAACTTTTTTGTCTCCAACAGCTGCAGTGTGGAAGCCTCCAGGAGCTGTTGACGCCTCCCTCACACTTACCCACACTCTCACCGACACACAGATGCTACAATCCAATACTCAAGCTGATGTATAGGATCACAAACCCTTTTTACACTGCAATTTCACAGCAGTTCTGGCTTTGTGATGAATTCTTCTCATTAGGATGTTGACTTTTTTTCATCAAAAGTGAATGGATACTTTCCAAAAAAGCCCAGGGTCCTGTGTAACCTCTGACACCAGAGGTTACAGATGCAGGGGAAGTAGTAGTATCGCTGTTGTGAATTGAAAAGTTTGCAGTGTTAGAGGTTTGAGCCCTACTCCCTCAAATGCACAAGGGTGCTTGAGCAGGACACTGAATCATCTGTGTTTGTTAAAGCAAAGGTGAATGATCTCAAGACCAATGCAGCAAACTGGTTTACGAGCCAGCTGGTAGGGAAATCGCAAGGAAAAGGAAAGGACTGTGCTTTCTTCTAGGCAGCGTCTGAACTTTCAAAATAAGAGCCAATACACTAGTAGATTTCAGATTGTGTCCTCATAGTGCCCGCACTCATCCTAATATTGCAAGCTCATTTAGAAACTTTTTCTTTTACTCTCATCCAGTTTGCCTGTCAGGGGAATGATTAAGTAGCAATGACATGCTTTGCTCAAAAGCATTTCAGTAGAAAACATGAATGTAGGTTGACAATATTGATATCAACAGTATCAGAAAGCATTCAATCAATTCCGCTTCCCGAATTAGTAAGAATGTAAACATGACATAATAGTTGCATTTAGTTGCATCTATTTAGGTTTTCATGTCTGCTAATTAATCCTGGTGTAAGTCAGCCATCGCTTGAGAATAGCTGTGCATTAAGTTGCGTCTGCGGTTTTGAAATGTACCATTTCATGCCTGTGGGTGAGCGCAGCTGGGAAGCCAGTGCCAGCCATTATCGTGCAGCAGATCCCTGTTGGAAAGTGTTTCCTCATTAGTGTTTCCTTTTCTCAAGAAACCATGTTTAGGTGGAATTCAGACCACAGAGGACGTTTTTCAAAGAACCTAACAGTTGCCAGGGAAACCCATCACTAGTGATCATGACCTGTGTGATTTGCTTCACCTCGCTGGCTTGTGTATCTTACTGCATCATCATGATCATGAAAAGTACTGTGGAGTTATGTAGATTTATGCAGCTCAGAGTATATGGTCTTACCTAATGTTTGTTATTTAACACTCATTTGAAGGGAACCCAGGCTGGGTTTTTTTTTTCTCCAGCAAAGAGGCATGAAGCGACTTTAGTGTTCAGTGAGGGACAGGTAGACATGAAAGAAACTGAAGAGGAAGACTTCAAAAGATTTCTAACCAAGGACAAAGACAAGGAAGCTCATCGTGAGCTGCATTTCTGAAGTTTTTTCTTTCTTTCATGTTCTTTGGAAGAAATCTTAATATAGCAGAGTTTGTTTAAAGTTAAATGATGAGAAATCTCAATTAAGTAGCTCAATGAAAGTAAAAGGTTGGAATAACTAGGATTTAATCAGAAGATGTTAGTGTTCTCTCTCATTCTTGAGCGCTACAAGATTTGCTGGGATTTACAGTAACACCAAGGTTTTTATAGTTAACGAAATCTAAACTAAAAACTAAAACTAGATATAAAAACACATTCGTTTACAGAAATAAAATGGACACACTAAAACTCTGAGGGAAAGGTGTATAAAAAAAACAACAACTGAAAATTGTGCTCTCATACTGGTACAAATAATTAACTGAAAATTTGTTGACGTACACCCACCT